CTGTGTTATCAGACAGACAGTGTACAGATGAGCCTTCAAACTGAGCCACTGGCCCTTGTGTCCAGGGTCTCCAGGGCTGGCACAAAAAAAGGGGTGAGTCCCAACACCATGGTCAGCCAGTTCCCCAAAATAATTAACACAATACCCAGAAGCAGGAGAGTGGAAGAGTCCATGGAAGAGTGGAGTGACCTGACAGAGGAGGAGGAGAGGGAAAATCTAAAGACGAGAGAAGGAAAAAGGCAGAGTGGAGTCCCTGTGCTCATTAGCCAGCTCGGCTCGCCTCAACTAGCTCTTCAGCATTACCATGGTGGCCATCAGCTGGTCTGCTAACTGTGTAGCTCTCTGCAGTTCATGTTTAGGACCACACCCGAATGAGTGCCTAGTAAAAAAAGAGAAAAAAGAAAATGAGAGATGCTAAAGAGACATGAAAAATATACATAAAACACATATGTAAGCCCACTTACAATTATGTAAAAGTGTTATATATGACATAAAGCAATGTATAGTATTAGACGGTGTCCTGTGACATACAGTTCTGACTGTGAGCATAACACCAAAACTTCCAAAATGTACCATTTCACAAAAAAGCAGAAAAAATAGTAAAGCACATAATTATATAATTACAATGTAATTTGCCTTCTTGGATAGTAAACTTGATTTAATGCTATGGTTGATTAATTGTTTGAATAATTCTGGACTTCATTAAGAATTCCAGCGTGCTGGCTCAAAATTGGGTATAAAAACACAAATTACGTTTAAGTTTTTCCCTTCAAAAATCATTAGTTGTTCCACATGCTCTAATCAGTAAAGTTCCCATATATATTTCTTTATACTGTTAAATAGAACTCACAGGACCAAGTTGGCCAGTTGCAATTTGCTAATCTCAGTGTCTTTCTTAAGCACTCCTAGTAGACCAAACCCTCACAGGATCTACATGCTGACAGGGATTTTTATACAATTTGCTTTATTACATGAAACAGAGGTAAAAAAAAATAAAAGATTCTAAACTTATATAACAGAACACAATCAGGCTTTAAAATTAAGAATGATTTACTTTTGTCACAATGATAGTCGTGACAAAGATAGTTTAATATGTAGATATACAAAGAATGTACTTATTATTGACAGGAAAGAAAAATGATTACTTTAATAGTGACCGCCATTAACAATCCACTATATCTATGATCACAAAGCAATTCATTACCATCATAACCATAGCCATCATATTGTTTTGTTGTTGCATTGTATTTTATGAAAAACCTTGTCATAAAATTTATAGAAATTATTATATAGAGACATCAGGTCATGTATGATAAAATTAAAAAATTTTTGGCAAGAGTACAAGTATAACTCAGTAACACTAACATTTCAGATTCCTTAGGCATTATGTAGTGCAAAAATTGCTGAATGACATGCAATATGATTAGCTGTGCTTGTTGATGACCATGAAATGCTATGTGACTACTTTAGAAGCAACGATAATAAACCTCAAAGAACTGCAATGGCAGTAAAAATAACAAAAAGGGGGAAGTCCTTCAGTACCTTGGTGTGTGTTAGCTGCTGGTGTTAGTGGCTTGGGTTTAGTAGCAGTGGTTAGTAGTAGTCCTTATTAGGGAACGGAAGGCGGGGCTACCTCCTGCGTTACCTAGAGTCTGTGAGTCCAGGTCGTCATCGATGTACTCCTCACCCTGGATGATTTGCTGAGTGTCCTCACTGTGATTGACAGGGCTGATCATCTCCTGCTCCTTTACACTGTGCATCTGGGCGTAGTTGTGGGTGCATGGAAGCTTCCTGAAAAACAATGGGGGATATGCATCCTCAGGCCTAAGCCAAGGACTGTGGGATTTGTTGTTTTTGTAAGACGGGGCTGTATAGTCTTCCATTGCGTTCTTTAAGTGACTTTTTGTGGATATTTGTGTTAGGGACACAAGGAGGTGCTGCTGGTGGGTTACTGATGTGACAAGAAGCATGCACAATGTGAATTTTCATTCAACTGTTTAGGGTTGGGTGGTATGACTTCAAACATCATGAGGTGTATGCAACCATCAAGGAATATGATATTTTTATTAAAATAGCTGGTGGTAGCTAAAGATACTGGACAGATGGATACATTTTAGTTCATGCACATCATTACAAAATTTCAATATTGTAGCAATCTAACTTAAGGGATGTTTCAATTTGCGTCACTTACTTTGGTATGGAACCTGAACATTTGATGGATTTCCACACTATCCACAATGGATTTTAAATAGCCAGGTTACAATTAAAATTCAGATTTTCAGCTTTAATTGAGGACGTTTAACAGAAGTATTACATTTATTGTGTAGGAGTTAAAGCCATATTTAGACACAGTCCTTCCGTTTTAGAGGCTTAGAAAATCCAGGGTGATTTCACCAGATGCTGTGTGGTGTATCTCTTGAGATACTCCACTTAGACTTTAGCTGCCTTCAGTTACTGCTTGTAAGTGGGTCTCTCTGCATTCAGTTATGTATTCAGTAACTGAAAACACATTCAATTGGGATGAGTTCAGATGACTGAAACGGGCACCTTTTCTTCACCTTGAAAACTTTTCGTGAATTTTTGTAGTATGCTTTGGGTCATTTGTACAGTGAAGCACTGTCTGTTTTGAAGAAAGTAGCCCAGTACACTTCAGAATTCACTCTACTACTTGTACTACTATCGGCAGTCATATCATCAATAAACACTCGGTTCCACTGGAAGCCATACATGACCATGGAGTAAAACTGCCGCCATCACAGTTGAGAGATAATGTCGTATGAACTTTACAGGCTCCTTTAGATATTTTTTGGCAAAGTCAAAATGGCTTCACCATTAGTGTGTAACCAGTGGTTTGCACCTTATTGTAAACCTGCTGTATTTCATTCAAGTGTAAAATTTTGTAGACTCTAACAATGATATGCCTAACGAAGAAGGCATGAAGAGGGTTCTTAACCAAGGAAAGAATTCTGTGACTGTCTTCCATAGCCACAACAGTGCTTCTGAGCTGGCCGTTGGATTCTTTCTTTTTCTTCTTTTTTAAGAAATGCACTGCCAAAACTATAGTCTAAGGTTTTAACTCACAGCCACTTCCATGGACATCTCTTTAGAGCCCATTTTGAGAGTTACAGTCAACAGACATGCAAATTCAACACTCGGACTTTATCAGGATTTTTCTGCTTAATTTATCATGGAATAATGAAAGAATAGCCCTCACCTAGCTTGTGAAGCTGAAAGTCTGCATTTCAATTACATCTTAATTGTTTCATTTACAATCCACTGCAGTGGTGCACAGAGGCAATATTACAAATATTATGTTACTGTACAAAACTACTGACTTTAGAGCTAACCTCATGAGTTTTTCTTTCAATGTTTGATTTCCATTCTTTGTCAGGTTTTTTTGTGCCTACGTCGTTAAGGTGACAACACTGTAAAATACATGACTCACCTTTTGAACTTATAGAGGATAAAGGCGCCAGTAGCAATAAGACCAATGAGGAAAATGACAGCTAGAGTCCAAACACCGGCACTTCCAGCTGCTCCATGGTAGCCTGGATTGATGAGCACACAGTAAAGAATGCATCACATTTCTACAATCAAAGGTCAAAAAGGGCATCAGGTGAAAACACAGCAGAGCACAACACCAACAGACCCGGATGCAGGAAAAAGAAAGGCCCAGGAGTCAAACCAAAGACTAAGCTGGTGATGCTAAATGCAATTATAGAGAAAGCAGGTATATTATTTATCAACACACCATTCTCTGCCTCTGTAGCTGTTGAGTCTTTAGTAATATAACCTAGTTCTTGGAAATAAACCAATAGGATGCAATTATCATTTAAAATACTGTATACATTTACAAACTTCACTTAATATGTACTGAAGTGCAAAATACATGTACCAAAATATACCTGCATTTGGGTCAGCTAGCATCACGAGCACCTGTAGGCCTCCTCGTATCACAAAGCTGACGTTGTTGTCGTTGAAGACCTGAATGATGGCTGGAATACGCTAAAGATGAGATTAAGTGTATTAAATGTAACTGATGTTACTTATAAAAAACAAACTTGCTAGTCTGTGTCTCCACAGAGTAAAACATGCCACCACCCGTGTTGAGGCATTGGATAGGTTTATTATCATTGATTACATACCTTATCTACAAACAAGCTTCTCTTGGCTGGTTTGGTGTCCAGTGGGAGAACATACAGGTTGGCAGTGGTGGGGAGACCTGGTTTGACCACAGTAACTAGGGAATTCTGAGGTACACCTGTAATCTGGGGCCACAAGTTGAAAATGCCAGTCATGTCTTAAATCTACACTAATCCAATAACTGTATAATTCATATCCTACAGTGTTTAGTGTTAATCAGCAAAGGTTAGCATGCTAACTATGATTATATTATTATTATGTGATTATAACAGACAGACAAGTATTACATTATCTAACAGTAATACTTTTATGTTTTGTATTTTTATAGGAGTACCAGACATTCGACTGGACTGTGCGCTATGAAAAGACAAGAAGTTTTGCGTGACACTACCATCCATTCTCTTTAAAGACCTACCTTAGCCAGTATTTTGGTGACCACCTGGCCAATGTCATCTCTCCACTCTGGGATATTTGGATTGAATCTGTCTAGGTTTCTGCTGAAGCTCAGAGGGATGACTTGGAAGTTATCTGCAGGAGCAGTCAACAAGCATCATGGCTATGATTCAAATTGATCAAATAAAACATAAAATATTATTTTAGCAAATAAATAAAATTAAAAAGAAACTGCAAATACCTACACATTACGCTGTTTGGACTGATGTGTAACACCTTGGTGGGAACATATGTGGTAAAGAAATCAGTCTGCCTATCCATATGTGTATTTTTTTGCATGAACTAATAGAAGTAGTGTAGCTTGTTGAGAAGCAGCATTTCAAATATGTATAAAACTGTGTACAAAAATCACAAAATAATTTGAGCAACATAATGAAACCAAAGCGAAAAGCTAGTTAAAATGTACTTGAGTTCAGACAGTAAAAAAATCAGAGTTAAACTAAAATAAACTCAATATCTTCAAATATTAAAGCTTGCTTATAAATAAAACAAGCACATCTCTTTGTCAAATGAATTCTAACTTGCTAACATTGATACACAAGCAATAAAATCATGAGATCATACAATATTTTCCAAAGATGGAAAAATGTCAATTCAATTTTATTTGTACAGCGCCAAATCTCAACAACAGTCACCTCAAGGCGCTTTATATTGCAAGGCAGACCCTACAATAACAGGCAGCAAATTTGTCCCTGTTTGTCTCAGTGACTCATAAACCAGGAATAGCTTTTAAGGTTTGACTTTACTATCCTAACTCTGATTGAAAAATGTAAGAATGTTGAAAGCTCACTCTCAACAGTAGAAGCCAAGATGTGGTTGAAAGCTATGAGAAAAAGCCTACAGTAGGACAAAGATCTGAATTCAATTTTTTTCAGATTTTTCTTAACTACCTTATCCAAAAGAAAGAATGAACATGTGCATTAAATTTAAGCTAACAGCATTGTTTATGTTAGCAAGAATGAATGACCTCTCTGCACTGAATCATACTTGTTATTACAGTTTTTCTCGATTGCTTAAACACTATCTTTTGAACTCAAATTTCAAAACCATAATGCTATTTTTCAAAAAGCACACTCATTTCCCTGAACTATAAACACAGGGGAATTTAGTGCAGGGGAATACCCTGCTTTAATACATGAGTCAGATTTGGTGAACTGTTACTGGAAAACTGTACACACAAATCCCTTTGATTTTCAGTGCTTACACCATGTGGTCATTTTGAAAGCACTAGCATTCAATGATGTTGACTTAAGTCAGAACAGTTTGAGCTCAATTAGTGGAAACACTAAGAGTCAAAATGTTTTAACAGTAACTTTTGAGTTACTGAACTCAAATTTTTTGAGTTTCAGTATGTTTCCATTTTTGTCCTGAAAAAGGATATTTGACAGTTACAGTAAATGAGTGCTTCTATTTTTTTGTAGGACACAGAGGGGACCACCTGGTGGAGGCCGGTTAAATTGTCAGAGGAGCAAGAGAGGGAGCTTGTAAACATGGAAGATGCCACTAATGAGTCCCCCTGCGAGGAGGAGATTGATTGAGGATGATCATAATTTTCGAGGGATAAATGCCATCAGCCTCTCCATATTGAACACATCCTCCGAAAGAACCAATTCCAGATGAAACTGGCATACATTGGTTCTTTTGAATGATAGTCTGAAAGAGTGAAAAACCAACAAGTGAGTTCTGATATTGTATAAAGTATTGTGTTACATCACAGCATGATAGTTTATGCTGCCATTTGTGCACTCTTAAACTGTGGTTCAGGGTAACTCTATTGTTAGTCAAGTTTTAACCTGACCAAAAGGAGGAGCATTGGTTGTGTCTTTTGTCTTCATCATGTGAAAAGGTTTTTGAGGGGAAGAACCACAAGCAACATGACTTGCCAGTTCTGGAAATATTGTTTTTAATTTATGGCACCAATGTGTAAGACTATGTTGTAGTGTGTGTGTTTGAGGCCTTGTGTGTTATGTCTGTGGGCAAAATTTGGTTTTTCTGCAAGTGAATGGTTTTGAGTGTAGAGCTTCATTTTGACCTGAAAATACGATGTTTGGGAAATTGGGTGAGATGTTATGGATTTGTGTTTACTGTTTTGAGAATACGAGGCATAGTTTCGAGAAATGAAACTACTCGAGAAATAGTGTAATCTCTGGCTCTCTTCCACAACATGTCTTTGATCCTGTCCTCCTTCTCTCTCCCCAACCAATCGTGGCAGATAACCGCCCCACCCTGAGCTTGGTCATATGGGGTTGGGTTTTTCTCTGTATGTATTATTGTAGGGTCACCCTGACAATAGTGCCTTGAAATGACTGTTGTTGTGATTTGCCGCTGTATAAATAAAATTGAATTGAAGAATTGAATTAAAATGAATATTGTAATTCTATTCCTGGCCAACAGACAAATGTAACTTTCTCAGAACCTTTGATATAATAACTTCTTTCTCTTCACCTCTTAGCACATACAAACATACGTTACCGTAAACTCGGACAGTTCTTGTGTCCTGCACCATGGATCGGCTGTTTGTGGCCTGTACCGTGACTGAGACTCTGCCTGTTCCTGGGAAACGAGTCAAAAGGTTGTTCTGCAGAGTCAGGATGGGCTGCAGGAAAAATTCACAGTATTAGTGATAAAAACATCTGGAACACCCGGAAAAACAAAAAAATGGAGGTCTGGAGGTCAGAAATATTCAGAACATTTTTTGGTTTATTTAATAAACCTATGCAATATGAAACTTACTATTACTACTAGACTATTTTAATTCATTGCTATAGTCACTGGTCCACAAATTTGCTCATAGCTTAAATTAAAATTGGTATTGCAATTGTTCCAAGTGAGGAACCCTAACAAGAAACCCCCCATATTGTACTCTGGGTCCAGCAACCAATAGCAAGAAGGCAGTGCACAATGTAACTAGTTAATACTAGTTACATTGTGCTACACAAATTTTGGTCTCTTTATCACTGTAAAAAGTAACTGAAAAGTTTATACATATCAGAACATAATAAAAATCATCTGTTCTTTACCAGGTCTTAAAATTAAATAAATAAAACTTCAGGCAAAGTACAAAACATTTCCTATAATGCTGTGTCATTGTTTAT